CCAACATCGTGAAAGCCTAACTCTACTAAAATACAAAAATTAGCCGGGCATGATGGTAGGTGCCTGTAATCTCAGCTACTTGGGAGGCTGAGACAGGAGAATTGCTTGAACCCAAGAGACGGTGGTAGCAGTGAGCCGAGGTCATGCCACTGCACTCCAGCCTGGGTGGCTGAGCGAAGAAAAGAAATTTCTTAAAATGTCTTTATTTTACCCTCATTGTTGAAAGCTGTTTTTGCAGATAGGCTATTCTATGTTCACAATTACTTTTTCTTGGTACATTGAAGACACCATTCCGGTCGTCTGTCTCTTATTGTTTGTGTCTTCATAAGTCAGTTGTTAGCCTATTTGTTTTTCCTTTGAAAATAATCTGTCTTTTCTTTCTGGGTATTAAAGGATATTCTCTTTCTTTGATTTTTATTTTGGTGTATCTAGGTATGGATTTCTCTGTCTATACTGCTTGGGATTTTTTTTTGTGGGGTGGCTTCTTGAATCTGTGCATTATCAGTTCTGGAAAATTCTTAGCCATCATTACTTCAAATATTGACTTTATTCCATTTGCCTCTCTTATTTTTGGATCTGATTAGACATATGTTAAATGTTTTTACTTTGGTCTTGCCTCCCTTTTCTTTCATGTTTTTCAGCTCTTTGTATATTATGCCGCAGTCTGTGTATTTTTCTTTACTGTCTTCCGGTTTGCTACTTTCATTCATCCACTATGTCTATCTGCTATTAAACCCGTCTACCAAATTTTAAAATTTCAATATTTGCATCTTTTATTTTGTGAAGTTTTATTTGGCTCTTTCTCAAATCTGCTTGATCAATTATTTAGTTATTTATTAAGACAGAGTTTCACTTTTTTGCCCAGACTGTAGTACAGTGGCTTGACCTTAGCTCACTGCAACCTCCACCTTCCAGTTACAAGCAATTCTCCTGCCTCAGCCTCCTGAATAGCTGGGTCTGTAGGCGCCTGCCACCAGGCCTGGCTAATTTTTGTACTTTTAGTAGAGACAGGGTTTCACCATGTTGGCCAGGCTGGTCTTGAATTCCTGACCTTGTGATCTACCTGCCTTGGCCTCCCAATGTGCTGGGATTACAGGTGTGAGCCACCATGCCCTGCCCTTGCTTGATCAATTTTATAGTATTTTTATTAATATTTTCAATTTTTTTATTTTAAAATTATATTTAGCAAATTTATATGTCATATAATTTGGGCTGCAAACTCTCATGGGGGTGGTTAGTGGTTGTGATTCCTCAGGAGTGATTCTTTCCCCACCTAAGTTCAAAATAGAGTATTTTTGCCTGAAACCAAACTCTTGATATGACTTTTGTTTTAGGACTCTGGGGACTGGTGAACAATGCAGGCATTATTAAACGAGTTTCCTTATGTGAGTGGCTGAGTATTGACGACTCTATGGATATCCTCAAAGTGAACCTCATTGGTGTGATCCAGGTGACGTTGAGCATGCTCCCCTTGGTGAGGAGAGCACGGGGAAGGATTGTCAATGTCTCCAGCATTCTGGGAAGAATTGCTTCCTTTGCAGGAGTCTACTGTGTCTCCAAGTTTGGAGTGGAAGCCTTTTCAGATATTCTGAGGTAACTCTCTTAAGTTAAAACAAAAACAACTATTGAGCACTGAAATATGTCTTAGGCATTGTGCTAGTTGTTTTCACCTACCGTATCTTATTTTATCAGTCCTCAAATCTTGATACATAGATATTACAGGTATTGATCGACTTACCACCTATGCAACTTACGACCATTCAACTTTACGACCACAATCGCTAGCCACGACTGCTCCGTGTCTGGCAGTGCAAACGTTGCCCAGCTGGGCATACGACAGTGCAGACCAGCTTCCGGCAGCACTACCATCTCCGCGTGCACCATTTCAACTGTACATATAGCCTACTCAACTTACGACCAAATCGTGTTACGACTGGTCCGCGGTCCCGACCGTGGTCGTAAGTCGAGCGCTAGCTGTATTACTAGTCTATTTTATATATAAAACAGGCTCAGATTTACATATCTTTCCCAAATTCACCTGTCATAGCCAGAATTTGGCAGAACTATATTTTGACCTCAGGTCTTTGTCTTCTATCACTATGTCACACTTTAATTCTCAAGATTTATTTTTTATTTTTGAGACAGGGTCTCACTCTGTTGCCTAGGCTAGAGTGCAGTTGTGTGATCATGGTTCATTGCAGCCTCAACCTCCTGGGCTCAAACGATCCTCCACCTCAGCCTGCCTAGTAGCTGGGACCATGGGTGCATGCCACCATGCCCAGCACATTTTTTGTACTTTGTAGAGATGGAGTCTCATTATGTTGCCCAGGCTAGTCTCAAACTCCTGGGCTAAAGTGATCTTCCTGCCTCAGCCTCCAAAAGTGCTGGGATTACAGGCATGAGCCACCATGCCCAGCTAGGCCTATTGGTTCAGTTTCATGTCCTTCCACTAACTGCTTTATTCTTTTTGTAGTACCCGCCCCCCCGTATATATGTGTGTGTATCATATATGTATGTGTATTTATTTACTTTCTGAGACAGAGTCTTGCTCTGTCACCGAGGCTGGAGTGCAGTGATGTGATCTTGGCTCACTGCAACCTCCGCCTCCCAGGTTCAAGCAATTCTTGTGCCTCAGCCTCCCAAGTAGCTGGGACCACAGGCGTGTGCCACCACACCTGGCTAATTTTTGTATTTTTAGCAGAGATGGGGTTTCACCATGCTGGCCAGGCTGGTCTCAAACTCCTGACCTCATGTAATCTGCCCAGCTTGGCCTCCCAAAGTCCTGGGATTACAGGCGTGAGCCACTGTGCCCGGCTTATTTATTTATTTATTTATTTTGAGATGGAGTCTCACACTGTCACCAGGCTGGAGTGCAGTGGTGCAATCTCGGCGCACTGCAACCTCCGCCTCCTGGGTTCAAGCTATTCTCCTGCTTCAGCCTCCTGAGTTGCTGGGATTACAGGCATGTGCCACCATGCCCAGCTAATTTTTGTATTTTTAGTAGAGATAGGGTTTCACTATGTTGGCCAGGCTGGTCTCAAACTCCTGACCTCATGATCTGCCCGCCTCGGCCTCCCAAAGTGCTGGGATTATAGGCATGAGCCACCGTGCCCAGCCTATTTATTTATTTTTAAGAGACAGAGTCTCACTATATTGCCTGGGCTAGAGTGCAGTGACTATTCACAGGCATGATCATAGCTTACTACAACCTTGAACTCTTGGGCTCAAGCTGTCCTCCTGCCTTAGCCTCCTGAGTAGCTAGGTCTGCAGTCCTGCACCACTGCCCTCAGTCTATTTTCCTTATATTATACTTCTTGAGAGAGAATTCTATTGGCTGAGTTCATTTTTTTGTGTGTGCCAGGTGACACCACACTGTGTGACATTTTTGTGCATGATTATGGATAAGGCACTGCTGTAAGTACTTTCCATCCATTAAATCATTTAACTTTCATAGGAACCCCATGAAGAAGGCATTATTTTTATTCTTATTGTACATATTCTTATTGTACATCTGAGGAAACTGAGGCACAGAGGTTTAGTAATTTGTCCATAGTCATATTGGTAATCACAGGCAGAGCCATTGTTCAGCCTTATGAGAGGCTCTCCTTCTATCAAGTCCCCTTCCTGGTCCAATCAACTGTGGATATGAGGCTGTAGTAACATGGTCCAAAATATTGCTGTCCACACTCCTCTTTAGCAGGGGTTGACTTTTGGACAGTTTCACTTGGAAATGGGCTGTGAATATTAAAGGCAGCATGTATTGACTTGCTATGACTGCTGTAATAAATTATCATAGGTAGTTTATGGTATATGGTGTTTTAAAACAACACTTTTTTTGTAATCAGTTCATACTCAGTATCACTGGGCCAAAACTGAGGTGTTGACAGGGCCACATTCTTTCTGAAATCGCTATGGGAGAATCCATTTCTTGCCTCTTCCAGCTTCAGGTCACTGCCAGCATTCTTTGGCTGTGGCTACATCATTCCAATCTCTGCCTCCGCGGTCACATTGCCTTTTCCTCTTCTGTCAGTCATCAGATCTACTTCTGCTTCTCTTACAAGGATCTTTGTGATTGCATTTAGGGCCCATGCAGATAATCTAGGATAACCCCCTATAGCAAGAGCCTTAACTTAATCACACCTGCAAAGTCTTTGCCACATAAGGTAACATTTACAGGAATTAGGACCTGATCTCTTTGGGAGCCATTGTTTAGCCTACCACATACCATGACTGGTATATAAGTGTTATAATGTGAGTGTTATATGCCTAGGGAGAAAACAGAAATAGCCAAGAGATTACATGAGTTGTTACCATGTGGTAGGCACCTCACCTTGCTTCCCATGTATCTGATGTTCTGTGTACTGCCACAGGGCTGCTGTTCACTGATTTACCACCACCTAGGGCTGGTCTCTCAGACTCCTTGACTCATTCCCAGACTAAGGTCAAAGATATATCCTTCCAACATTCAAACCACTATGTAATTCCTTTAGAAAATTCAACTTCACCCTAGCAGTCCTCAGGATAAAAAGGGAAAGGAAGTTTTGTTCTACATTTACATTGGAGTGTTAAAGGAGAATGGAGATGAGGGGTGGAAGGAATCAGAGTGAGAAAACTCTAAGGAGAATTGAAATTTAAAGGAGGAGAGTCACCTTTGGCTGAAAGCCCTTCTCTCTTCTCCATTACATATGGGCACCTGGAGACACTTTTTGAAGCTCTAACATGGAAGGTTTTAGGTTTTGGTTTGGTAAGTGGGGCTTTTCCCTTAGAACAGTGAGTGATTCTTAAACTCTAGCATGCCTCAGAGTCACCTGGAAGGCTTGTTAAAACAGATTATTGAGTCTCACCCCTAGCATGTCTTATTTAGTAAGTCTAGACAGGGGCCTAATACATTGCATTTCTAAAAAGTTCCCAGATGCTGATGATGCCATTGATCCAGGGTCCACACTTTGAGAACCACTGCTTAGAGGTCATAAGCCTTTGTGGTCTGCCGACTTATGGACCATTATTTTAAACGTTTCTCCTTGCTGTCAGCTTGAGCTTCATCTTCTCCAGCAAGGCTGCCTGAACCTATAGTTTAGGGAACACTCCTCATCACTGTCCCTAGATCTCCTAGAGTATACCTCTGCCATGGTGCACAATGCCATCTTACTTCACTTGATGTAGGCAGCACTTAGTATAGTACTTAGCCCATAGTCGGCCCTTGATAAGTATTTTTGGAACTGTTTGTTGAACTAACTTGAATATTCTGGAATTTGTCATTCTAATGCTCACATCATGTTTCATGAGTGATCTCGTAGTCTGAACACACTGTAATTTTCCACAGGCCCATGCTTTTGCATGTGCAATTCCCATAGCCTGGTTTGTTATTCTTCCCTTTTCTTTACTGGGAAATTTCCTTTTATCCTTTAAGATAATTGTCCCCAACCTTCTTGGCACCAGGGACCTGTTTTGTGGAAGACAGTTTTTTCACGGTCTAGGGTGGGGGTGGTGGGAAGAAAGAGATGGTTTCGAATGAAACTGTTCCACTTCAGGATTCTCCCAGGGAGTGTGCAACTTAGATCCCTCGCATGCATAGTTCACAATAGGGTTCATGCCCCTATGAGACTGTAATGTCTGACCTGACAGGAAGTGGAGCTCAGGCGGTAATGCTGGCTGGCCCATTGCTCACCTCCTGCTGTGTAGCCCAGTCCCTAACAGGCTGTGGATGTACCGGTCTGCACCCCAGTGTTGAGGGATCCCTGCTTTAAGACTCAACTGAAATGTAGGCCAGGCCTGGTGGCTCATACCTGTAATCCCAGCACTTTGGGAGGCCAAGGTGGGCGGATCACCTGAGATCAGGAGTTTGAGACCAGCCTGACCAATATGGAGAAACCCTGTCTCTACTAAAAATACAAAATTAGACAGGCATGGTGGTGCATGCCTGTAATCTCAGCTACTTGGGAGGCTGGGGCGGGAGAATCGCTTGAACCTGGGAGGTGGAGGTTGCAGTGAGCCAAGATGGCGCCATTGCACTCTAGCCTGGGCAATAAGAGTGAAACTCCATCTCAAAAAAAAAAAAAACAAAAAAAACTCAACTGAAATATTTTTCTCCTCACTGAAGCCTTCCCTGACTCCCTCAGAAAATCTATCTGTACCTTCCTTTCTACTTTCACAGCCCCTTGAATGCCTCTCCTTCATAATTCTTTTGAATTGTGTTGTAATTATTTGCCTACTTTGTTGGACTCACCCAGTGTTGGACTCACCTTTCTGAGATGAGGAACTAAGTCTTAATCTTCTGAGATTGTATGTGTGAGACACTTAGCATAGTGCCAGTCATAATAAATGCTAATTTTATTTATTGTCATTTGTATCCTTCATGCCTGCAGAGCCTAGCACATGGTAGGTACTTAATAACTCCTTATTAAATGCGTCATTCTAGAATTGAATGGTTATGATAGTTGGTATAATCATTTCCTAGTTGTTGGATCCAGAGATGTTTATATATATATTTTTTTCCTCTCCATTTCTTTTTTTGTTTGTTTGTTTGTTTGTTTGAGACGGAGTTTCACTCTTGCTACCCAGGCTGGAGTGCAATGGCGCGATCTCGGCTCACAGCAACCTCCGCCTCCTGGGTTCAGGCAATTCTCCTGTCTCAACCTCCTGAGTAGCTGGGATTACAGGCACGCGCCACCATGCCCAGCTAATTTTTTTTGTATTTTTAGTAGAGACGGGGTTTCACCATGTTGACCAGGATGGTCTCGATCTCTTGACCACGATCGTGATCCACCCGCCTCGGCCTCCCAAAGTGCTGGGATTACAGGCTTGAGCCACCGCGCCCGGCCTTTTCCTCTCCATTTCTTTATCCTTTAAAATATTCAGTAAAGGTATTTTTAATAGAAAAACTATCTGATTTTATCATTATCAATACCAAACAAGTCTTTAAATCAACTAAAATTTATTTAATTAAGCATAAAGTTACTTTCACATTTGTCTACAATCACAGTTAATACAGTTCTTGGCATAAAGACACAGGCATAGCCTTTAGAATTTAAAGCCTCTCCACCTGCAAGATAACGTATCTAAAACTCCCACTATTGTTTATATAATAGTGGATTAATCAAATTAAAATAGTTATACTATCTATAATAAAATAAAATGGAAATAATTTACTCATAAGATTCATATTTAAATCATCTTTATTTATACAAAATACTATCCTGAGAATTATAATTCCATTAAACTTCAATTTGAGCAAAAGTGTAATCACTTAAGTAACAGCAGTTACTTAAACTGCAAATGAGATCAGTCAAAATTACTTTTGAAGAGGGTAAAAATATTGTCAGGTTTCTTGCTGTGGTTCTGAATGATCAGTAGCAGGCTCATTTGAAGGTGGAATCAACCCTGAAGGGAGCTCACTTCTATCTTCAGGATGTAGGGGTGGGAGGAAAAAATCCAGGTCTTGGGGGAAGGTAAGGAGGAAAATCCCTCGGTGGATAGACATTTCTCATTGCAAATGGAGCATGTGGTGGACCTGGGAAATCTCTTGGTGGAAAATAATCTCAAGAAGCTCCAAGCATGGTTCCTGGAAGAGGTGGGGGGAAAGGAGGTCCTCTTCTCATGAACGGGCCCCTTGTATCCACTGGAAACAATGAACCTCTGAATGGAGCAAGAGGTGGAGGAACAAAGCTGGGGCCACTTGCTCCATTTTCAGCTGGGAGAGATGAATCAGGTACATTGAAATTACCAAGATCATCTTTGGTATCATTTCTACTGGATTCCATTTTGGAAGGCATTGACCCATCCATTTTATCCAAAGGCATATCAAAACTTCTGAGTTCTATTGGTCCAGACAGTCTACCAGAATTAGAATAAAATCTGGCTTGCCTTTGTGGAGGAAGAGCTGAATCAGGATATGATTGTCCTGGTGGAGGAAACATCATCCTATGGTCCTGTTCCCCTGGAGATGACATGGACCCAGTGTCCAAAGGAGCCTTATGAGAATCGATTAACATATCAGAGCTTGATTCTCCTCTTTCATTGGTAATCTTATGGTCCAGAGGATTCCCTGGGCCTCTTGAGCCTCTTCCTCCTCCCCCTAGAAGCAAAGGTGAGAGTCTGAGTAGACCCTCCAACAGAGTTGGATGAGAGAGAAAAGCTCTCATTTCAGATGAAGCCTGACCCAATGGTGAAGGACCATATGGGGAATGCTCTCTGCCCAATGGTATATTTGGAACATCAAGTGCATAAAGATCTTTTTCTAAAAGTTCAAATTTAAACCCTGTTTCAGTTAATTTTTGTCTTTTGTGAGCATTTTCTTTCCTTAAATCATTAAGATTTCTTTCAGCAGTCTGAGCTGCCAACCAGTTACCAATGTGCTTTTTTCTCATGGGAAACAATCTGCCCTTGATAAGAATGGATAGCTCTCTCCAATTCTTCTTCAAGATCTTTGGCTCACTTTCTATAGGTCTCCAGCTCTTCAGTGGCATGGCTGATCTTTTTGTCTACTTTAGAAAATTTCTCTTCTTTCTCTAACTGGTAATTTTCCTCTATTCTCAATTTCCTGTGGGATTTCATTTCATTTTCTTGATATAATTCAGTCATCACTTTAAATTTCTGTTGAAGATTCTGATTCTCACTTTCAAAACGTGTGTTTTCTGATTGCAAAGATGCTTGTTCAGTCTGAAGATTTTTAATATGCTCTCTAAGCTCTTCATTTGTTTTATCAACTTCAGATAACTGAATATAATTTGGTTCCTTTCTCCTTCTAAGGTTTTTAAAGAAGCCTTTAACTTAGCAGCATGAATCAGTTTCTTTAAAGCTCCTTTTGGAGGATTATCTAAGTAAGCACCATTTTCCAATTCCTTGTTCATTTCCAACTCCAAGTTATCATCATCTGTTATGTCTTCTCCAAGCATAGCAGCCCAATCTTTCATCTTTAGCAAGTGTTCAGTCAGAGTCTTGATGTGATTTTATCATTTACAACTTGTTCTGCGTGTACTTTGGAGTCTTCAAACGTTATTTTCTGTTTATTAAGTTCACTCACTTATTTTTTGCACACTTCAGCTTCTTGCAAAAGCTGTTTCTGGCTTTTCTGAAGTTGAGAATTTTCATTCAAAGCATGTTTTATGCTATCTTCAGTCATTCTTCATTTGAAATATCTTGAAGATCATTTTGGCTTCAGCTACTTGTGATTTGAGGGATTCTGACTCATCTTCTAGAGACTGTATCCTTTTTGAAATATCTGTCATCCATTCACCTTGTTCAGAATGTTTATATTACTCTTCTTTTAACTGTTTTTCTAGACAGAGTATTTTATCCTCAAGTTCCACATTGAACCTGTTCAGCTTTCCACAGGTTGCCTCCAAACTTTGTGCTTCTGTTACCTCTTTCTCAAAGCTGGCATCCTTTAAAGATGACTCTACTTCATGGCCTTCATACTCTTTTTGAACAAGGCTAAAATTTTCAATTAGTTTACATTTTTTTTTCAGTTAGTCCAGAAAGCATTACAGCAAGCTTTTTTCTCTCTTTCCACATAAAGCTAACTCCTAACCAGTCTAAAACTTCTCCACACACACAAAAAAGGGAACAGCAAAAAATCCAGCAAGAGCTGTACATATCACCAATTCCCATGGAAAACCATAAGGATTAGAATCCGGGCTCACACCATCAGGCAGTGCTACCACAACCCTGTGGCAGGACCAGCCCCAGCTACCTCCATAGCACCAGGGCTGCTCCGGTGGTCACGCAGTAACCCCGGCCTGTCCGGCCGCAATAAGCACTGGAGAGCGCGCACCCCAATCCGAACACGGAACTAGAACGGACCACTGCGGAGCCGGCTGCGGGGGATGCGGGCACCCACGGGCCTCATAGGCCCACGCTGCCCACCCCGGCCTCCTTTACACTCCGAGGCAGCGCAGGTCCGAGGCCTACCTGCACAAGCCTGCGAGGCACCCTGTCCTTGCCACCGCACCCCTCGGTTTGGTTTCCGCCAGGTACCTGGGGAGAGGTGGGGAGGCACCGCAAACTTCCCCTTCTTCTTCGCGGGAGCTTGGCAGAAGTGTCAAGTTGTTTGCTGCTAAAGGGTCCGGCCCCCTACCTAGCGAAGCCACTCAGCCCTGGTAGTAGAGAGGCTTGGGACTGCAGGATAGGATTTGGCCTCATACTCTGCGCTGTCCTGTGAGCCGCACAGCCCCAAGGACCAGGGCTGTGTCCCAAGGTGCCCCGCGGCGGCGCGAGCGGTGGCGGTGGCGCGAGGCTTCTCCTAGAGGCGCATCGGGGCAACCCCTGGGTGCGACTGCGGCGTGCCCCCTCGATCCAGGGGATCCAGGGGCCGGCGCCAGGCCCCGCCTTGACACGCAGGGCTTTCCTTGCGCATCCTGGCTAGAGCCTACTGTTTGCGCCTGGCAGAAACCCTGATGGTGGCGGCGTACCCCGGGAGGCCCCGCCGGCCCCCGGAAGCCAGCCGCGGCCATCTTTCCAGTCAGAAAAATGCCCTGCGGGGCTCCGGTAGGTGCGCTCTGCCAACCATGTGCAGACGTTTCCAGTAAAGGTATTCTTATAATCGTTTTTGTTTTGCTTTTCCTTCCTGAGAGCATTGAAATGGTCGTGGTTTTTAATCATAACTTGTGGGGTTTTATTTCAGGCGTGAGCTTCGACATTTTGGGGTGAAGATCAGCATAGTTGAACCTGGCTACTTCAGAACGGGAATGACAAACCTGACACAGTCCTTAGAGGGAGTAAAGCAAAGCTGGGAGAAAGCCCCCAAGCATATTAAGGAGACTTATGGACAGCAGTATTTTGATGCCTGTAAGCTTTTGTCTTTTGGTAGGGATAATGGGTACCCTGTATTGGTCCATTCTCACGCTGCTATGAAGAAATATGAGACTGAGTAATTTATAAAGAAAAGAAGGTTAATTGACTCACAGTTCTGCGTGGCTGGGGAGGCCTCAGGAAACTTACAATCATGGCAGAAGGCACCTCTTCACAGGTTAGCAGGAGAGGGAATGAGTGCAAGCAGAAAGCCTCTTATAAAACAACCAGATCTTGTGAGAACTCACTATTACAAGAACAGCCTAGGGGAACCATCCCCATGATTCAGTACCTTCCACCAGGTCCCTCCCGAGACACATGGGGATTGTGGGATTATAATTCAAGATGAGATTTGGGTGGGGACACAAACCCAAACTGTATCAGTACCCTTGCATGAGAAGGGGAAAATAGGGTTGGTGGACAATAATTGGCAGATCCTCTTGGAACAAAGCTTCCTAAATAAAGCCTTCTCAGAACAGAAGGAGATAAGAAAGGTCCCAGCACCCTCATGGTTGACTTAGTCTGATGGCTGTCATGGTTGAGAAAGGGGACATATAGACGGCCTGGGGCCAGGGTCTTTCCTGCCCTATCCTCTATGGGCCTGGCCACCTGAGCACTGGGAGGTATTACATACTTAGAGGGCATGGAACCTTTGGGTCTTGAGAGGGGGTGCCCCTTGGTATCGTGGCAGGGCTGGTGTGAGATGTCTGTTCAACTAAAGTGCAGTCTTCATCATTGTTTACCCTTTTGATAACAAAGGGCTTTGTCCACAAACTATGTGTCTTAATGTGACAGGAGAAAGCATGTAGGTGGGAAGAGGTAAGTCAGTGAGGACAAGTCTTTGCAGGGCCCTATGGGCCATTCCCAGAGACTATACTTCTCATGTTCAGGTGATAGGAGCCTCGTCGGGGTGGGACTGGTCAATTTCCTGTAAGAATATTATTCTGGAGACCTGGAGGAGGAGGTGGCAGCAGCAGTGAAAAACGGGAATGACTTCTAATAGGCACAGAGTTTCTTTTTGGGGTGTTGATTGTATAACTCTAAATATTCTAAAAATTATTGATCTGTACACTTTAAATGGCTGAATTTTATGATATATGAATTATATCTCAAGAATGTTAAAAAGTTTTCAGTTGAAAATGTAGATTCCCATATCTGCATTGTTCTAAATATATTTAAAAATCTAGTAACAGCATTGAGTCTTTTTTTTTTTTTTTTTGAGAGAGAGTCTCACTCTGTCACCCAGGCTGGCATGCAGTGGCCCGATCTTGGCTCACTGCAACCTTTGCTTCCCAGGTTCAATCAATTCTCCTGTCTCAGCCTCCTGAGTAACTGGGTCTACAGGCATGCACCACCATGCCTAATTTTTGTATTTTTAGTAGACATGAGGTTTCACCATGTTGGCCACGCTGGCTTCAAACTCCTGACCATGAGTGATCCACCTGCCTTGGTCTCCCAAAGTGCTGGGATTACAGGCATGAGCCACTGTACCCAGTTATCAGAATTGAGATTTAAGGCCAGGCATGGTGCCTCACACCTATAATTCCATCACTTTGGGAGGCTGAGGTGGGAGGATCACTTGAGCCCAGGAATTCGAGACCAGCCTGGGCAGCATAATGAGACCTTGTGTCTACAAAAAATAAACAAAATAGCTGAGCATGGTGATGCATACCTGTAGTCCCAGCTATGTGGGAAGCTGAGGCGGGAGGATCACTTGAGTCTGGGAGGCAGAGGTTGCAGTGAGCTGAACTGTATTCCAACCTGGGTGACAGAGCAAGATCCTGTCTCAAAAAAAAAAAAAAAAAAAATCCCAAAAACAACCAAACAAAAAAAAAAGTGTTTTAAAATTTAATTAAAATTAAATAAAATGCAAAATTTAGTTTTCGTGCTAGTGCACTAGCTATTGTTTAAGTGTGCAATAGCTACATGTGGCTAGTGGCTATCATATTGGGAAACATGTTCTAGATCATTCTATCTTGTAGAAATTAGATGTGGTTAGAATTCTGTGACTGCATGATCTTAAAAATATAAGGAATAAGATTGTTGACCACTATTTCTTTTTTTGTATACAGTTTACAACATCGTCAAGGAAGGGCTGTTGAGTTGTAGCACAAACCTGAACCTGGTCACTGACTGCATGGAACATGCTCTGACATCGGTACATCCACGAACTCGATATTCAGCTGGCTGGGATGCTAAATTTTTCTTCATCCCTCTGTCTTACTTACCTACATCATTGGCAGACTACATTTTGACTAGATCTTGGCCCAAACCAGCGCAGGCAGTCTAAAGAAAACTGGCTTGGTGCTTCATGAAATGAAGACAAAAATCTGAAATTAGTTGTTAGTGTTTCAGCAATCCTGATTTAGAACCTAGGCTTTTTGTAACCGTGTGCTTTCTTGCCTAAATTCATTTATCTGGCATCATCGGAGGACTAACTATATTTCAGATATCCAAAGTTTACCATTTCTTTAGGTGATGAATCTTTACTACTTTAACCCTTTTTTGGTGAGACTATTTCCAAAGTGAATCATTTATTCTTGCCTTATTAAACAGAGTAGATGGGAAACAATTTAACCTATTTTGATGTCATTTCTTTATGTATATGAATAATTGTTCTATGCTGTAATAATCTATTGTGAAGAGATTACTAAGGAATATGTTGGTGTGCTTGTCCTTACTTGAAGTGGCTCTGTATTAAAAAAGTAAATATTTACTTTTAATAAATATTTGATTTTTCTTTCTCTTCAATTTTTGCCAGCAGTCTATTTTCCCCCAATATATTTATTCCTTTTTTAAAAAGAAATTATTTTTTAAAATTTAAATCAAAATAATGTATACATATATAGCTAAAAATTCAATTAATATTCAAAGGCTTAAAATGAAAAAGAGCAATCCCTTGCCCTTATCCTCATCCTTCACTGCTGCTCATCAGAGCCAAATGGCCTCAACTTTTAGCTATTTCTTCTGATATTTATCTCTGAACTTCTACATGATATGCTGTTACTTTTTATTAATTTTAGCTATTCTCTGTTGACTTTCTGTCATGGTAAAT